TTAAAAAAAAAAAAAAAAAAACATATTATTTTAAATACTCACTCGAGTATTCCTGTTTCTATCTCCTCTGTTCCTGTCTTTTCTGTTACTTATATTCTATATTTCATTTAAAATAATTTTAAGAGTTGAAATGTAAAAACATATTATTTTAAATACTTACTTGAGTATTTCTACTTATCGCTCCTGTGTTTCTACTAACTGCTCCCGTGTTGGAGTCTACTATATTCTATATTTTATTTAAAATAATTTTAAGAGTTGAAATGTAAATTTAAAGAAACATATTATTTTAAATACTTACTTGAGTACTTCTACTTATCGCTCCTGTTTCTACTAACAGCTCCCGTGTTGGAGTCTACTATATTCTATATTTTATTTAAAATAATTTTAAGAGTTGAAATGTAAATTTAAAAAAACATATTATTTTAAATACTTACTTGAGTACTTCTACTTATCGCTCCTGTTTCTACTAACAGCTCCCGTGTTGGAGTCTACTATATTCTATATTTTATTTAAAATAATTTTAAGAGTTGAAATGTAAATTTAAAAAAACATATTATTTTAAATACTTACTTGAGTATTTCTGCTTGAATCCATTATATTTTATTTTAAAAGCTGAAAAGAATAAAAACTCTATAATTGGTGGTAAGTATTTATACATTTTACTTCGAGGTTACAATATTAACTTTTATCTTCCCATTGGGGAGGTAAATTAGGTTATCCCCTCCCCTGTTAGTTTTGGTTTTGGACACCTACGTTATTTTATTTATAAATTGTGTCAAGCATTCAAGGTTTTACAATTAAGTCATCTGTCAATTATTTTATGTCAGACAATTAATTTAATATTNCGTTGAGCATATTTTATCTTCATATATGATTGAGGAAAAATTAATAAATGCATTTGATACAATTTTATTTGATATTAATAAATGCATTTGATACTTTATTGAAAAATTTATAAAATATGGATCAGGGTGGATACTGAAAGAAATTATATTTATAGATGTTAATATAGGAATATATAAAAATGAGATGGGAGGATGTGGTGATATTATACTTCCCAATCATTTAGTTAATAAACGTTGTGTATTAAATATAAAATGTTCAGATAATCAATGTTTTTTATATCGTATAGTTGCACACTTATATCCCGCAACTAGTGCTAATAGAAATTCTATACATTTATATAGAAAATATTTAAAATATCTAAATATAAATCGTTTAAAATTTCCAGTAAATGTGAAANGTGAAACAGATAGTAGACAACACACTACCGTCAAGTGGTGGCATCTGTTGCCAAAAATTTTCATTAAAACCGATTTTTATTAGGGTAACGACTGGCGTTACCTTGTCGTCTTTATGGAAAAGGGGGGGTAACGACCAGTCGTTACCCCTGGTCCTCTAAAGGCTAAAAAACAAAAATTTAACATAGACTTATCTGTAGATAATGCCAAATCTTCGAACATTCGTCCATTTAAGATCAAAATATCTCAAAATCAAACAATGGAAATTGTCGAATTCCAGTCTACCTGGTATGTCTCATTAACAAAAACGAAAGGGAAGTATCCACTAACAAATATAATATTAATGTTAAAGATTTCAAATTGTACAAGAAGGCCTTCGATGCAACAGATGAACATTTAAACGAGAATGCTTAATTTTATATCGAGAAAAAAGCTTTTAGGGGATATGCTAAAACTTATAGAGCGTTTATTTTAGAAAATATTGATCCGGCTGTCTTTTTTGAAAAAATTACATCAAAAATTTATAATATTTTAGCTAATAATAATTTTGTTTGTAGAAAGAAATTTTTAAAATATAAAGAAGATATTATAGAATATCAAGATGTATATTTTTCTAGCCTCGTTGAGCATATTTTATCTTCATATATGATTGAGGAAAAATTAATAAATGCATTTGATACAATTTTATTTGATATTAATAAATGCATTTGATACTTTATTGAAAAATTTATAAAATATGGATCAGGGTGGATACTGAAAGAAATTATATTTATAGATGTTAATATAGGAATATATAAAAATGAGATGGGAGGATGTGGTGATATTATACTTCCCAATCATTTAGTTAATAAACGTTGTGTATTAAATATAAAATGTTCAGATAATCAATGTTTTTTATATCGTATAGTTGCACACTTATATCCCGCAACTAGTGCTAATAGAAATTCTATACATTTATATAGAAAATATTTAAAATATCTAAATATAAATCGTTTAAAATTTCCAGTAAATGTGAAAAATATTCCATTTGAAAAAAAATAATTGTCTAACTATTCGTGTATATGGGTACGAAAAGAAATTAATTTATCCAATCTATATAAGTAAATTTCAATTTGAAAAAGAAAGAAATTTATTATTATACAAAACTCATTATTTTTTAATTAGAAACTTTAATAGACTAATATCTGATAAATCTTCAGCAAGGAAATTTTGTAAACTTTGTTTAAAATTGCCAAATAATAAACCATATAAATGTAAATTTTTCGTAATAAAAAATAAAATAATAATGCCTATATTTAATAAATATTTTATAAAATGTGATTGTATGAAATGTAATAATAATTAAATATTTTATATTCTAGAATTTGTTTATTTTAAAAAGTTATCTGAAAATGTAAAAATTCCAAAAAAGGCTTCTTCGGGAGCAGCTGGATATGATATATTTTGTGTTAAAGGCTTTCAAATTAAGCCCAATGAACAAAAAGCAATATTTACAGATCTGGCCTTAGAAATGCCAAATAACTGCTATGCTAGAATAGCTCCAAAATCTTCTTTATCATTAAATATTATTATGATCAATGCAGGAGTTATTGATGGAGACTATCGTGGAAACGTCGGGGTCCTAATGTATAATTTTGGATCAGAAATTATTATTTTTGAACCTGGATCTGTCATTGCCCAAATCATTTTCAAACAAATTATGCATCCGAGTTTTATAGAAAAAAACAGATTCATTAAACACTACTGACAGAAATGAAAAAGGCTTTGGAAAATGTAGTGAAATTGCTTTTTCTCAAAATAAAGATTTTGGGGACTGTGACGATATACTCCTTCATGAAAAAGAAGAAGATGATGATGATGATGATTTAACTGCAATGAAATTACCTTATCTCAAAAAGTAGATTGTAACGAAATTATTTTATCTGAAAAAGAAGATTTTAGAGATCATGACAAGAATTAACTTTTTTTTCAAAAAATAATTTTGTACTCAAATATTATTTTGTAATGTACTCAATTATTATTTTATATGTACTCAATTCTCATTTTGTAAAGTACTTTATTATTTTATATTTACTAAACTATAATGTACTCAAATAATCAAGTATTATGTACTCATTACTATACTCAAATAAAGCAGCAAATAATATAAAAAATGTTTGTTTTTTTTTTGTAGACAAAACGCTCACCCCCATCGACTGAGAAGCTTTCTCGCCTTCACCCCTAGAAGAACAAACTATTCGTCAATTTAAAAATTATGTTCATTGGGATACGATCAGTCAACGAGGCGATTTAACTGAAACATTTATTTCAGAATTCGCGAATTATTTAAATTGGGAACACACATGGAAAAATTACCGTTTTCCAATCATATTTATTAAACAAAATATTCAATATGCAAAATGGGATTTAATTTGACAACATCAGAATTTAGATGAACAATTCCTAACAAGATTTTCGGATCATCTTGATTGGAATAAAATCTCCGAATACCAACATCTTTCGGATGATTTTATTATCTTCTTCATAAATAAATGATATAAAAAGAATTTTAAAATACCAACAATTAAAAACCTCAACTTTACGTCAAATACAAGATTACCTAAACTGGGAGTTTGTTTCTCGTTATCAAAAACTTGACGAACAATTTATTGACGAATTCCAATGTCAACTTTCTTGGTGTCACATTATAAAATATCAAAAATTAAATAAGGAATATATCGTTCGCAATCGTGAGAACTTATTCTTGTATTTAATGGGAGAAATACACATTACTGTAGACAAATTGCGGGAAAAAGTGGGAATACTTATATAACTGTAATGTAATGTAAAAATAAAAAAATTAAAATAATTTCAATGTTATATTACTTTAAATTACCACTCACTTCTTTTGTAATTAAAATAAATTCTACCATATATTAAAATTTATATGAAACAATTTAAAAAATAAATTCTAACATAGAAATTATAACATATATTAAAATTTATATGAAACAATTTAAAAAATAAATTAATTTTGTGATTAGTACATGTCATACGTATACTACTAACATCTCTGTACAAAGCTTGGTATGCTGCAAACAAATGTGGAAAATAGTGTTTACATTTAAAAAATGAGCTTCATACACTTAACACCCAAGATACAGCACTCCAAGTAATTAACTTGTAAGAGTCATATTCTGTTTGCATATATGTTTTATCAAATTATCAATCAAATTTTTCACTGAAATAGATCAATACTTCATAAACACCATGCACATCCAGATACATGACAATTTCAATTACAACTAACATCGAAGTAATAGTGCTACTTTACAGAAGATATTTAAGCAAGTTTTAAGGAACTAAGTTTATTCTCACTTCATATTCTAAGGTTTTACATATTCTATTAGCAACAAGAACTGAGAAAAATGACAAATTATGTTATACGGCATTTTGTACGACACTCATTTTAGATAATTAGCTATATAAATATTTGAAGTTAAATAGCATATTGAACTTTCTTACCATAATCCAAATTGGAGAATTTCAGCACTCCTATTTGATTCTGTTTCTTCCTAAAAACTTTCCTGAAAATGAAAAAATTTCTATAACAAACTTATTTATGTAAGAAGCTGTGCATAATCATCAATAAAAAATCAGAAATACTTTATCATCTAATAATAATCAGTCGAAAGATGGTGAAATTAAAAATAATCATCACCAAAACAGTCAAAACCAGTGGTGCCCAAACCATAAACTGTGAACCAATTGGGCTCAGCACACGTCAACATGGTGTGCAGTTACTTGAAACATCTCTTATGATTGATAGAGACAGACTTACTGTTTCTACATACGTAATATACAAAATATTCATGAGCCTAACTCATCTATGATTTATATGCAGTTTTTCCACATATCAAAACGTTTGGGCACCACCAGTCAAAGCAATACAGTCAGTATAAGCTTACCATTTTGATGATTCTAACAAACATGGTACATGGAAAACCATGAGAACAAGCTAGGCCAAACAATCTTAACAGTCAGGACTCAACAGAATTTAACATACAACTTTTTGAAAAGTGCACAACTGTTGATACCTGCAGCATTTCATGGGGAGATAAAACATTTGTCATCCAAAGAATCAAACTTGTTTAGATGGTTTCTTAGTATGCACCATATCTAAAAGAATGAAATTTCAATTTTAAATAAATGCATTTTTTCTATTTACAATATTCTTAATTAAAGCATTTTAAGTTCAAATTAATTTCCTGTGTTAATAGGAGAGAGTTATGCCACTGTACCTCCCTTAAATACATTTTGTAATCCACTCTAATGAAATGCATTAAAAAAAACAAATTTAAATTTTTACTAGAGAACTCTTCTATTCCATGTTAAAAATGTTATTCAATTTATTTTTATTGGCTTGAGAATGGCATGAAGTATATCAAAGATGTATAGAAGTTACTTCTGCCAAAAAATGTTAGCATTTATGTATTTTCTGTAGACATCTACATCTAATTCATTAAAAAACAATTATAAATTGAAGTATAATTACATGTAAAAACAAATGCAAAGTATTTTAATATGCATAATCAAATCATACAGCTGGTTTCTTACACTATAATAAAGCTACTTAATAATTAAGTTATTAAGATTAGAGATGTACTTAATCTATTGTTAAATTTAATGATTATAAGTAAATTTTTAGAATATTCTGGAAGAGATTGATTTGGAGCAGGACTCAAACCCAATACCCCACATTCCTTGAAAAAACACCTCAATCTATGTTCAACTGGCAAAAAACAAACCCAAATACAGTGGTACCTCAGGATATGAAATTAATCCATTCCGACACTGAGATCATATCATGAAAATGTCGTAAGGTGAATCATTTTTCCCCATACGATTACATGTAAAACCAAATAATTCGTTCCAATACGAAAAACATACTCAAATTAAAGCTAAGTAATACATTAAAAAAATAATAACTATAGTAAGGAAAACACTGAAAAATGCATTTTGTAGTTGTAAATGTATAAATAACCGTAATAGAATAATAATTGATAAAAAGAAAATGTAGTTTTATTTGCACTTTACCCTTGAGGATAGACCACAGTGGAGGAAGAGAGGGAGAAGGGAAATGATACTAAAACTTAACTTATATAACATAATGTAACAATAACTTAAAAATAACTTAGAAAAGATGATAAAAAATTAGTGTTGTTTTATGTTTTCTTTTTTTTTTTTTAATTTTTATTCACTGCTTTTTGCTTTCTTTTCAATAAAATCAGTCACTTTCTGATAATACCTCGAGATTTCCTTTATCGAGCGAGATCCTTCCATGACGAAGCAAACACGTGGACTGAGACCGATGAACAGAAGTGAATAAAAAATGGTGCTGTGAACTAATGTAACGTCATATGGTGAGTTTTTGTTCATATCGTGGAGCAAAAATATGTTCGAATTTCATGTCGTATCCTGAAAATTTCGTATGCTGGGGCGTTCGTATCCTGAGGTACCACTGTATATAGCATACTTAAGGTACTGTACAGTACCAATCAAACATTTGATTGAAAAATGGCATCTTCCACAGAATAGCTGCAGATGAAATGCTACAACTTAATTAATAATCACCAATATAAGATGGCCAAATATTAAGTATGAAAATATTCAATAAAATCAAAGTGTTAGTTAAACAGGAATTGTGGGTTTGAGTCTTATCCAGGCAAATTCTTTTCTTCCAAAAATTATAAATTAAAAATTATTCAGATTAGCAAAATATGTCAGCATAACCACCTACTTCTAGACAAATTACTATGTATCTAATCATCAATTTAGCCATATAAGATTGCAATAGGGCATGCACTTTTCGAAAATAGGTGGCATTAGTGTCAGGCTTACAGATAGGAAGCTTCCTATTTTGTTTATCATGCTGTGTATACACTGTTTAAAAATTGCCTTTTTAGTTATTTAGGCATTTTTGAAATGCCAGTTAATTGTTGTTTGTTTCAGTGCCAATGATAAACATCCAGATGTGAAATTTTGGGATGATCCCATAAGAAAAGAATGGGAAGTAAATATAGAAACTGGAAAGAAAATCAATAAGCTTAAATCTGTAACAGACAAAATTATAAGGATAATCAATTTTGAATGGTTTACAGTATTATTACTGTACAAATGTAAACATATTTTTAATGAATGATTAAATGGAAGGTTTATATCACACTTGATATTATAACAGCCAATCATTTTAAGCGTTTGACATCTTAACATTATGTTTTAAACACTAACAACATAATTCCAAGAAATAGGTCGAAACTCAAAATATATTTGAATTAAAAGTTGCTGGAAAGTTTGAGAGAAATACCTAGAATAATTTATGATTCTAAAACTGTCATGACCAATGTATAGACAAAAGAAGAAAATTATGGAAAATGGAGCAATGTGGATGCAAGAAAAAAGTAACCGACAGAGATAAACGAAAGGTGTTCTTCCTTACAAAACAACAAGTAAATCAGCAGCTATTGACTAGACAAATAACTGCCAATTTACCAAAATCTGTGTCCCATCAAACGATGTGGTGATGTGCTCATGGCAACATAAAATATTGAAAAATGAAAGTTATATCTAATTTGATACCTGTTCACAAGCAACAAAGACTTCAATAGGCTAAATCTGTCACAAGTTTGACCAAGGAGTAGGAAAAAGTTGTTTTTTCTGATGGAAAAAGTAGAATTTAGATGGACCAGATATTATTGGCATCATATGAAAATAGAAACCAAAGTTAGAATGAGTAGTCAGTCAGAAGGTGGCAGTGTAATAGTTTGGGATGCTTTTGGGTTCAATGGGAAAACTGATATTGTCATTCTCGATAAAAATGGATTCTTCAAAATATCAGGTATGTTAAAAATTAATTTAATTGCATTTGGACCTTAAATTGGTGAAAGTAATTGAGTATTTCACAGAGATAATTATCGAGAAGATAAAAAATTATTTGACTGGTCTTCTAGAAATCCAGATCTTAGTCCAACAGAAAATTTATGGAGCATAATAAAAATAGTTCATGGTCAAAACAAGCATCATCAAGTAAACCAGTCAAAATTATGAATTAAAGATGCTTGAGAAAATATTGAAGTGAAACAATTGCAAAAATCAACTCAAACAAACTATGCCCAATAGTGTTTGATGTTATTCAAATGAGAGGTCCAACTAAATATTAAATGATATGAATTTTGCCAAAAATATCCTTATAATTATGATAATTTAAAAATACAGTTAACTTCAAAAACAGTTCACAATTATTTTAATTATCATCAAACATCAATGACAATGATTTTTAACATTTTGTTGTGTGTTTATTATGTATCTAAAATTTCAAAAGTATATTACAAATAGAAGTTGAGTAACTAAAACTAAATTGTTGTATTTGTAATTGTTAAAAGATAGAAAAACAATGCCAACAACTGTAAAAACATCAGTTTATACGTGTTCTCTTAAGCTTGTGTACCTTTCTAAAAGTTTTGCCTTTGTTCTTATTGTCTTTTCCCTTAATTCATTTAATTTCTTTTGTAATTTGGCAACTGTTACATTCTTTAAGACCATATTTTTAAAAGTAGATTAAAACTTCCTGTTTAGTTTCTACTGCATACTCACTACCAGAAGATAAGTATATATCCGGCAGACACTAGTGCCGCAAGTGACAAGATCTAAATTGTGCATGCCCCATAATTTGGCATTTAATATGTTAATACACAAAGTTTCTTTAACTTTTACAACTGTTGTTGGTTATCGTATTATTGTCATATAAAGTAGACAATAATATAACGATCCAAACATTTCTCTGCACAGAAAGGGAACGCCAAAAATGATTTAAAACTCATTCCTGGAGCTTATCTGTGCCTTTCTAAAATTAACAACAACAAATTTCACAAATCACTCACTAATTCAAACTTAATTATAAAGATTCTGTAGTCAAAAACATTCAATTTTTTATTTAAATAAAGATTGTTCCCTACTAAAATTTTTCTCATATTTCTAAACATGAAATTATTAATAAAGCTTCAAGAGAATCTCAGTGCTGTGTTTAACAAAATAATATTTTGTATATATTAATTTCACAAATTCATGATTTTAAAAAATTTGTGGAATAATTTGTAAAAGCTATTTGTAATATTTAAAACCATACGTTACCTCTTGATGGCAATATCAGTGCAGAGGTATAAAAGCACAAAACACGCCATGGCTTGCTCCATAACTTAATCCAGGTATGATAGTCATGCTGTTTAAAATATCTCGAGTTTGTGCAGTGATGTCATTCAGAGTTGTGTAACTTTTCTGGCAAAAAGAAAAAAAATTTAATTGCATGTGGTGTCATCTTTTATTATATCTTATCTAAAGAAACTATATTATTATTTATTATAAAATGGAAGCAAGCTTAATTTTGAGGGTACAGACAAATTTTATTTAAAAAATTGTATATATTAAATAAAATTCTTCATTAAATCCAAACTCACTAGAGATATATACACCCTCCCACCCCTCAAACCTTTAATTACAAAAATTTAATAGCATCAATCCCCTTTATACACAACCTACCTGCAAAATTTCAGAAAACTTCCATTAGTTTAGTAGGTTTCATTCTTACCATAGCCTGATTTGCCATAATTTTGATCTATTGATGCCATTATCTTCATATCCTAAAACTATCTCTCTATTTTTATCATTAATTAATTAATTAAAGTACTGCGCAATATGAATGTTAAAAATTCTTTATTAACATATAGAGTCTGAGTGCAAGTTACTTGCAAGCCGCCCAGGTAGCAAATATTTACATAACACATAGGAGTTAGTTAAAGAATGCATATGCATTGTATCTGAGACATTTTGAAAACTGTACCTAGCGCAGTAAATCGCTTATTGTTTTTAATTTGTATCTGAGTTAAAATATTAAGAATAAGAAAATCAAATGTAAATTGTTCTGTGTTTGTAAATTATCTATTAATTAAGGTTACATTACCTCAATCATTTAAAGAAAATTATCCCGAAACAAGCGTAATCATTGAATGTACAGAAATTAAAACTAAAAAGACATCACATGTTCAACATCAAATTCAGTTTTATTCCTACCATAAATCTGCTTATACTATAAAATATTTAATTGAAATTGCCCCATCAGGACTTCAATGTAGTGTTATTTTAAATCTAATTTTAATATATAGCGTTATTTTTAAATCTCTAGTTAGTGATTGTATATAACACATCGTTCAAATTTTTCATGCCCTCCGTTTCAAAAGAAAGTATTTCTTTTATATCAAAAAATTGATTTTATTCTATTAAAATTGTACCAATTCCAAAATGTACAGTCTAATTGAAGGCTGCATTGAAGTCCTGATGGGGCAATTCCAATATTTAAGTAAATAGTTTTAGTGTTTTCATAATAAAACTATTTACTTAAATACTATTTACAATTGCAGGTAAATAATAACAAAAAGTAGAACATTTGCATCTTCTCTAGTAGTGAACAAACGAATCTCTAATCTTTTTCCACTTTAAGAATTACAATTTGTTTATCACTATAGATAAATAAATAAGGAAACTGAATATTTGTTACATATAAAGCTAATTGGATTTTGTGTATAATACATGCTATTCTCTTTTAAATAAAGTTTAGAATTTTTAAACTGTAAATATTTTACAAATACCTTATTTGTCTTGAAATCGACAATTTTTTTTATCTTTACATGTGTAAGGGCATTTAATTTCGAGTAAGCTTATTTTATCTCCATTTTTGCATATACCATCAGGGCTTGCACAAATGCAGGGAGCTTCATTACAAATGATAACCCCTGCATCAATTATTCTAATACAGTAGACCCCCCCATAATGCTTAGATACGTTCCACATTATTCGAATTTCATGTTGTAGGAATCCTTAAATACATGAGCCAATCGCAGCCCGACACGTGTGAAGTTTACGGACTATGGCTGTTTGAAAGGTTTTCTTCCATAAAATTAATCGATTCTAGACTAATTCGACTCAACATTTCCAAAACACGTATAATTTTTTGGGAATAATCTGTATAAACTATGCTATAAACAAAAAATTGTAGGATTACTTACCGAGTGTGCACCGTTTGATGTCGCCATTGCTTAAGCTTGTTTTCATCACGGAGCAGCACACCAAACATGTTTACACTGACCATGGATACCTTGCACTTACACGTTGCTGTAACTATTTTTCTATCTGCCGATAACTGAAAATTAATTTGTATTAAAAATAATTCGCAAAACATGTACGAAATATTTTTATTAAAGAAACATTCAACAGTATATAGCTTAATAAAAGTAGCAATATACAATTTTGTTGTCATGCAAATCATCCTGTTTGTTTATTGCAGAGACATCTAAAATTATTTAAAAGTGCAAATTAGCAATTTAAATATAAAAAATGCCTTAATACAAATATAATGATTTCTCATTCATTTTTCATTTGGGTTAGGCACGTAGCTGTAAGTGTATTTCTTCCATCGTTTCTAATTTCTTTAATTGCAGCTACATATTTAGCCTTTGCAAGTAAATTCCTTTCTTCCATCTCAAAGGTGTAAAAAATTTGTCAGTATGGACTGGTTGAAAACATGTTAAAATTATATCAGGCATTATTGACTAAAAGATGAAAATTACACTCCAGTTAATGAAAGTTCTATTTTTTAATTGTATATTTTATTAAAACATTTAAAATTTGGTAAGTTAAAATTAAAAAGTTTTACTTGATTTTCTGTACCAAGAAACCCTTTCTTTTTTTTTCTTTNGTAATGTCTCAGATACAACTCATATGCATTCTTTAGAGAACTCCTATATGTTATGTAAATATTTGCCACCAGGGCGGCGCGCGAGTAACTTGCACTCGGACTCTATAAAGTTTTTCGTTTTTTATGCTGTCCACGTTTTTCAACCAACGGCCCAGATATTCCCCATTCTAAAGGCTGGCAAGTATGACGAAGTTCCCCGCCTTTCTTTGTGCAGCGCTTTACAGCGAACACACTAAAACTGGTTTCAAATTGGTCAACACTGCTCGTGACGTCATTTCGCTTCACTCTCGCTGCATAAAAAAACGCAGGAGATATAAAATATTCGATTGACATCGACTAATCGAATAATAATTCGATTAATAAATGTGAACGGTAATTGAAAATTTCAATTTCAATTACCGTTCACATCGACCAATCGAAGACACTGAAATTTACTATCGAATTTTTATTGTTAACAACACACGGCATTGTTATAAGTCACAGAACCGTCGCGGCCCATAAACTTATTTAACACGTCAAATCCTACAAATAATTAAACAAAAATATTTATTTATTTATTTATAATTATCATTACTTTACCTCTGCGCGAATACACAATTGTTTTTTAAACGAATATCGACTCGATGTATGTGGATTGAAAAACAACATTTATATCCCGTATGCTTACCTGTTCGTAACGACTGGCATTAAAATTACGTAGGATCTTCGAGATTTGACTCCGATGAAATGTCGGAAATTTCCTCCTCTTTTACACAGAATTTCCATTTTTCCCGGTTAGGCCAAAATACCCTAAGTTAAAATCATCAAATTCGTAAATCTCACATAGCCACGTCGAAGACCAAGATACAAATGCCACTTTCTACCGGATTAACGAAGTTCGTCGATCAGCAGTAGCCAAAAAGTCGCTAATCTGTTTTTACAACTTGAAAAATTTCTTAATGCATTCATTACTTTCTTTTTCATTTTAAATTATATGTATAAATAATATGTACGTTTTAGTGAAGTTGCAGCCTTCAAATAATTGCTTAATTCGGACAATGTATTCCATAATTATAAAATGGCCGTAAACTGCATGGCTACTAGGTACAGTGGCTAGAAAATATAGTGTCGAAATCGAGCTTATTTTCTGTCCCTATATTGGAGGTTGCCGCAAGAGGCGCTGCTGTCAATCGTTGTGCTACACTGGCTGTATCATCCTATGTTTATATTGGTTTTAATTAAGTGGGATTTTTAAGCATAGTAAATGTGCTGTAGCCAAGTAAAAGAATTTAGATCGATAATAAATCATATCACTAGCAATCAATTATTATATAGTATTACTTTATTAACATTTATGAAGGAATTCATTTTATTAAAGCTAATTAAGATTCTTATTAAATCAAATAGCCTACACTGTATTGTCTATTTTTACATTACAGCTGTTGAGTGCTGTACAAACAAGTATTATTTAGAGTACAAGAGTAATCTACTCTTGTTATTACCTTATTAACAACAAGGTTTATTCATATTTACTAAAAAAATACAGAATTTATCATATTTTTAATAATAAAATGTAAGTTTTATATGGCTTTGTGAACCTCTTCCACTGTGAGGGCCTAAAATAGAATTTATTAAGCAAATGCCATCAGTTACATAATACTGTATACTGTTCACAGTATTATGTGACATAGTATAAAGCAATATTAAAATTACAATTAAATTCTACACAGTATATAAA